GGGTATTGTTTAGTGAGAGGTCCCATACGCTGTGGTCGTCCAAAAAGGATGGCGTGCCGACCTCGGGATTGGTAAAGTTGGCGCCGAAGAAAGGATCGTCGTCAAAGTCGCTGTAGTCACTGGATTGGTAGAGGCTCAAAGTCGAGGATCCGGCAGGTGTCTCTGAGGGGTTCGCAGGAGAGAGAGAGTCACTGTTGACTCGAGATAAGAAGGGCGATAGTAGATTTGAGTCGATTGATGAGCGCTCCTGTGGCTGCTGTTGCTGCTGTTGATATTGGTATTGGTATTGATGTTGCTGCTGCTGCTGTAGTTGTCCGGCACCAGACACCACTGGATCGCGGGGCTGAGAGTCGAAGTCAAAGTCGCGATCGAGGCTAAGAGGGCTGTCGGTGTCGTGAGGCACGGAGAACCCTGGAGCGGCTGCCGATGCGGAAGACATGATTGTATCCAGCTGGGGCCGAGCGTAAGGGGATGCCCGAGGATAAGTACTCCGTATATTCGGCAAGGAGGAGGGAGGGAGGTTATGGCAGGAGAAGAGAGAAGCGGTGGCTCTCTATCGAGAGATGCAAGACAGGCAGCCGGGGCCCTGTAGGCCTAATCTGGTGCGCTCTGGAGATGCGCAGCGTCACGTCACTGGCCAGGGACCATGTTCCTGGAGAGCAACGGGTGGCGGCAGGCTAATGATTGTTTTGCTGTGCTGTGCTTTGCTAGGCAGGGCGGGAGCCAGATGTCAAGCTTTGGGGCGCAGCCGGCAAACAGACGGTCTAGAGAGGCTGCGGCGTCTGGCTAAGAGGTAGAGATTGAGATGACAAAAGTGGTGTCGGACGAGAAAAAAAAGGGCAGTGGGCGGAGAGCCAGAGCTGATGATGGGATGGGACATGGGCAGCCAGCGTGTGGGTGCGGCTGGCGGATCTAAAGGCGCTTACCACCATGCTTGGGCTGTCGACCGCACCCCCTGCGGAGCGACCCTTGCTGCCATCGTGCTGTCTCTCGAGCGTCTGGTCGGAATCGGTCTTGGGAGCGATGCTTGTATGTGCTACCGTGGCGGAATACGTGTACCGCCCGAGACAACGATGTCCCAGGTACCAGCTGGTGGTGTCAAAAGCGTCATAGTGGTGCAACCGTTGTCGCTGGGCTTCGGGCTGCGAGCTGGCCCAGGGCCCCAATGAGCTGCGATTTGGGGTGTGTGGACAAGTGGGTTGGTGGTGATAGTGATGGTGGTGGTGGTGTGGTGGGGGGGCGAAAATGCGGGAGGAGACGCCTAGCAGCTTGCACAGGGGCCCCGAGATCTAAATGCGACGGCAAGAGGAAGTGGCAAGTAGCCGGTACCGGTAATATTCGGTGAGCAAGAGTTGATTGCAATGGATTAAGGAGATGCTGGGCGAGATGAGACGAGATGAGGGAGACGAGATGAAGTGAAATAAGCAAAAGCGAGGAGACGAAGATGAAGTCCCACGTGAGAAGGAATTGAGGGGCTGAAAGCTATTGAGCTGCTGTTGCTGTTTATAGGTACAGTAAGTGTGCCGGCTATTATCACACAGAGCAGAGCTCTCCAGGGCTGATAACGGTGCTCCAGCACTCCAGCTGCAGCGCTTTGGGTGCTGCTAGTTCAGCATTGAGCCCTCGAGCCGGGAAGCTCAACTGCCCTAAAATAGACATCCGTGGGTTGAATCTGGAGCAGACAACAGACAACTCCCCTCTCCAACAGAGACAATCCAAATAACACCCGGATCAGCCATTCGCAAGTACACAATACATTGCCTTACAACATACATCCACATCAGGGCAACGGTATATTATGGCAATGGACGATGACGATGGAGCCGGCGGGCAGCATGCAACCGGGATTCGACTCCGCGGGCACCTATGCCGTACGAGTTCACGCCTACGTGGTAACCCAGGGCTCAAAGAGACGCGCGGTTGGCCGGGACCACGAAACTCCAAGCGATGAGCGAGTGCTTGCAACTTGCCGGTACAAGGTTGCCAGTGGTGCTGCAACGCTGCAAATATTGGATCATGGCCTCCGGGGGTTGGGAGTTGAGGTTAGACTCTTTCTAGTCTAGACACAGCAACGCTCTTCTCACCTTTCGCCCCGGACGGTTCGCAACAGGAAATGCTGCTCGTCTCGTTGTTTCTCCGCGCAAAGTACTGCCCTCCCACTCCATCGTCGATTGTGTCAGGTCTGTCAAACACACATAGCGTGTCGCTTGCTTCAGTCTCTTGTCTCCATAGCCTCCACCGATCAAAAAAGCCTAACTGGACAGCAGCAACACTAGAGGAAAGGCTCTGGTCTGCTTCGCCGGTGGGGCTGCCCCTCCGATGTCAAGTGGAAAAACATGCCGTTGAAAAGCCTTATGGACACCCAGCTAGACACCATAGTGCAGTACGAGAACCATACGAGACAACGCTGCGCCTGGCCAAGTATCCGGCCATCTAGAGCCGCCTGACCCCTGACAAGACAGCGCGCCAGCCCATGCACGAGGGTGGGCACGAGGCGCCGCGCAGTCTCCAAATCCGTTGGACCAGTCTCTAAAGGCACCACATTGGGCCATAGTGCGCTCCGATGGCCCTGTGAGGCTATCCAGCACGAAATCCAAGTCAGGTGGTCCCAGCCCCCGAGGCGTTCTTGTCGTGTGGCTGCGAACCGAGACGAGATGGAGCACCGCCTTGCTCTGAGGACTAGTGTTATCGAACAATCTATCGCTCTGGATGTGTCCAGCTGGGGCACACAAGGCAGCTTGGGGAGCGAGCCGCAGCACATCACGATAAACATGAGACAGGCACCGCCATGACATCAGCACCATGAAATAAGGTTGTCTAAACCTGTGGCACAGCATGCTAGACGAGAGACAAGAGAGATAGTATAGGTAGTAGCACTACCTATGCGGTACTCCACATTCGAGCTCATGCGTGGCCAAGGAGCATGAGGAAAGCTTGTTCTTTGGGTGCTCAACTGGTACCTCGCGTGTGTGGTACGTAGCAGCAGCTTTCCGAAGGATCAAGACCATGCCATACTGGATCAGCAATGCATGAGGTAGTGCGGAATACTATAAACGTACTGGTAAGACGCGATGTGTATCAAGTGTTTCGCAGACTCTCAGCGGCTTGACATTGATGCAACCCACATGCCTGCCGGCAGGATCTAGCAGCAACAGACTCCGTAGACGTGGCCCAAGCATGTATGCTGTTGCTGCTGCAGAGGAGGCACTCCATATTCTGACATGCGCCGAGCTGTTGTTGATTGATTACACTAGCCACGGTTCAGATAGTCATCGTTACCATCGGCGTTCAATCACATCAGGTAGCAGAGCAGCGGCAGCAGCGATTAATTTCCCGGCTGACTCGGCTCTTTACTGTCAGCACCCTATTGCTGCCGTGGCCATGGCCAGACTTCCAATTTGTGCACGCGGTGCTTATCGCGGAGATTAAGCAACGATTCCGGCCATGAGAATGAAGTGAGTCTTGGCAACTCTTCCCCTAGGGGCAGGTTCCAGGACTCCCTTTCTCAAGAGCACTTACATGCGTGCTCCATTATTTCGCAAAGTGTATTATTGCAATATAGAAGAGCCACAAATTGATGCTTAGGGGGAGCAGCAACCAAGGCACTGCCACATCCCGTGCGTCCCACCATGCGGCTGAAGACTGGACGCTCTTAGTCTCTCGACTATGCGATGGCCAGCACCGCCTCACTCCAATATAGTGCCCGCGTGTAGCGTCTATCCTAAGTGATATCATGGATTGATAGTAGCATCGACCATTCGAGATTTGTATCCTGGAACATTCCACAGAAGCTTCACTTGTCTTACTTGCCTTGGGTACTCACAAGCCACGCGCACGCAGGCCTCTCTCCGGAAGCCTGCATAGGAATCCTGCGTGCAGCCACATGTCGACCTTTGTGGTAGGTTGGGTGTACAAGTATAAGCCCACTGTGAAAAACAGCCCCATATTCAGGCAGACTCAGTCTCAGACTCAAAGCATCAGCGAGACGCCTTACAATTTCTAAAGGGGGATGAAGCTTCGGAAGCAAAAGAGCAAGATCCGAGACTACTAGTAGGATGGTGGTTCCCTCTCAAGCGAGCGGCCTCATCCAGAGAGCCCTCGACCCTCGATCCGTCTCGTCCAGTTTCCGCTACTGCAGCGCCACCCACCGCTCGGTCTGCTTGATTCGGACACCGGAATCCGTGAATCTCGCCTTACTTGTTCTTCACAGCCCAATCTACTCAGGGAGATAAGCGCGCCCCCTGACCGATAACCGCCGCTCCAAAAAGCGCGCGCAGGCGGCTGCATGCTGGCGTCCTGCTGTTGGGTTGGCGCTGGCGCTGTGTCTCCTGCATCGTCTCGTCTGCGATTCTGACGCCGCAAGTGTAGCGTAGGCGGTGGGCTGCGATTTCGCAGGATCAACTCGCCTCATTTTTACTGAATAAACTGCACCAAACAAATTTTACCATATGAGATTGAATGCTCTGCTCTCTGTATAGTAAAAGGCGGAATACAGTAGGTACATGTAGATATGCACATAGCAAAATGCTGCTGGAAATCAGCCACCCCACGTCATTCAGCCACGTGATGCTTCAACCACCGGCCCGCGAATTCAAGATCAAGTGATTCCATCGCCGTCGCCCCTCATGTCTGCTTGACCTTGACCTCTCGGCTTTATACATTTATAAGAACATCAAACCTCCAACGGAGTATAAACCCATTCGTAAGAGTTCAAACGCAGTGATATCCGCAGCCGCGACATCAATTCTGCGTGCTCACCCATCATGTTTCGGGTTCGTAAAGACAAAGATAACCCTTGAGACGTTTCGCCTCATCTTACACCAGAATAAGTTGGGCTAACCACGCCTCCAGCCGCATCCAGAAGAAAACATGCATCTGCGGCTCCATAGAGCTCGTTCTGTGGTGCTGACTTCTGACGAGTGAGTGGTACCACACGTAACTTTGCACGCCAATATTCACATCTTCGCATCACCCGCCATTGTCGCCCTAATATGACAAGGATGACGCCAAATCCACATCTACACGCTTCTTCCTTTGAAGGATTCTCAAACTTAAATCCCGTTACTCACCGAGACCCCCTTTTTCACAGACTTGTCGAAATCCGCGCCGCCCAACGAACCTTTGAGGGAGCCTACATGCGAACCGCCCTTGGCCTCTTCTCCTTCTCCCTCGTCATCCTCAAAGTCTTCACCGAGGAGTTCTACCCCATCGGCGCCCTCTTCGCCGCCTTTGGCACCGCCATCCTCCTCGTCTCCCTCTACCGCCGCTACCAGGGCAACCGCCAGTTCTTCGTCGCCGAGTCGGCAGATGGCATCTTTCACCGGAAATTCCGGACCAGCGGCGACACTGTGGTCTTATTGACCGTGCTGAGTCTTTGCGCCTATGCTACGCTTTTGGCATTGACGTGGGAACTTAAAGACGTATGAGCTATCACTATATTTTAAACTTTGATTGGGTCATGTTTGTGAAAGGGATTTGGTTAAATCTGCTTACTGCCCAATGCTTACTGACGAAACTTGACATGGCTATGATATCCCGCCCGCAAGAGTTTATTTGAATTTCGGTTGATTGCCACAATTCACGGATCGTCTTTGTCTTACACTTTCTGGCAATTCCAGCGTTGTTTACTATATTTAGATCATTGAATGTTCTCAGCGAGGGCTTGCTCGGGGTCCGCCATCGCAACTTTCTTTCTGTTTTCTCGCTAGTCACTTCCTTTCACATGTTCTATGACTCCCACATCTCTGGAGTCTCTCCAAGTTACTTTCACACGCTCGAAAGTTATGCATTGCATCTGGCGTTAACTTTGTCTCAGTTGGTAGCATCTTGGCAGACATATGTGTCTTCGCACACAAGGCTTCTTTGGATTGACGGCTACAGATGACACCTCCGCATTCTTAAATGTAATATATTGTCCATCAACTGTTCGAGAGACTCATTTCTCATGCTTCCGTGCATGGCGATGTAAATCAAGATCCACCCGTGACATAAAAGAGTTATCTCAAGCAAGGCACATTACAACTCGAACTATGACCCAAGAACTACGACCGTTATCGCTTAAAACTCCATCTCAGCACTCTGAAGGAACAGACATTTTATTTGCAAATACAGCTGTTACAGGTCCAACATGGGCCGCAAAAGTCAATGCCATATGAAATTACTACTTACAATTCCCAGGCCAATAGCTAGAATGAAATCAGCAGTTCTGAATACACAAAGATTCAGGCAGCTTGGCCAAATAAAGTTCGTTTAAACTCAGATTGCTGAGATCGCTGACTGAGTCTCGTAACCTCTTTCATTTGAAGAGAATTTACTATCTGCAAGTGACTAATTCCTACAACAGCGTTTTTCTTATCAAACCCAAATAAGTCACTTGATACATATGTGAGAGAGCCATATTATCCCAACCTACAACGATATATCGTCAAACAAGAGATAACGCAAGGTAGAAGTTGACGATACATCGAGGCATCAATACAGCGATAAATCAGCCACCGCATCACCCTTCTATACATCATGTATAAGACAATGTATTTTTTATAAGAGAGATAGGTGTAAATGGTATTGGTATTGGTACAGCTGGAAGTAGCACGAGGAACTATTCCCTCAAAAGAACAATTCCAGCGTGCACACAATCGCCCAACGCTCTAGATTATCCAAAACGTAGATAATCACCCTACTTCATCCATATATGTATATCCTCCAAGTTATTTTCCCTTTTTAAACATCTCCCTTTTCTCAAGACGCACCATTCCACACACATATTGTGTCAGTTACACCTCCAGAAAATGGATAGATAATAAATCAAAAAAATCCCATGTGTCAAGGACCCAGAGATCTTAATAACAACCAACTCCAAATCAATCCAAAGGAAAGAAAAACAAATGTATGTAATATATGCTTGGAAAGAGCTATTCGCCAAAAAGGAACATGAAACGAAGATATTATTTGCTGTGGCCGTAATCCCAAAAAAGAAAAAGGAAAAAGGAAAAAAAAAAAAAGTGCCCCCCCTTTTCTCTCAAATATGCTTCATTGAATGCCTTGCAATTTATAATAAGGAGAAAATAAAGAAAAAGAACCGCATCCGTTCCCACAAAGAGGAAACTTCTGATTCCAGCAAATGGACCCGCTTGATACAAAAGACCCTCTTGAAACAATCCTTTTGTAAAACCACCCCAGTTTCGAACGTGTAACCCAATATAAAAGTTGAAACCAGTACAAAAAGGGGAATTGAAACAAAGAAAAGGTAGCTCTAATCCGCTTCTTCCGCCATAAGTGAGCCATGCTCGCTTACTTGGTGAATGCCCTCCTCATGTTCTAAGAAAGAGAAAAAAAAGGTAAAAAAAGGTGTTTCGGCCGTAACAATCATTCTTTGTTTCCTCCCGCTATATACAGTCGCCAGATCCGCCTCCCTTTCCATGGTATAATCGTGCCCAGTTCTCGCCCTAAGGTTGAATGTTGAAATGCATGAAGAGCAGAACACATAAAGAAACTCGCATGACATGAGGTTGAAATCTTAGTACACATATATGTACTGCCGGGTCTACTACAAGTGTATCCTCCAAAGTAGATAGCCCTTTGCCGCCATCCCTCATATTGTGAAAGACCAGTATATCAGAGAGAAAGCTGTCCGAAGCGGCTGTCTGTCGATAAAATGGTGTCGGCGAGGGCATGGTCGTAGTTCACAAGCAGGTGAATATTCGTCTATTCGGTAATGTTCGAGACACTTTGAGACATCTTGGCCGCAGTTCATGTCGCCGTGCCTCAGCGTTCTCAGTACGTATCCACCTCTCCCAGCACTGTGGAAATTGAACGCAAACAACAACCATTATATTCCCAAAGAAGTCTATACCCCAACTTCTTTATTGTTTCCACAGCTGCTAAGAATTTTGAAATCGGAGGTCGTTTCGTATCAGAGACATCGACGAAGAGGGAATATGCGGTCAACTAGTCGACCACTAGTAATCGGCATCGCTGGACTTCTTTATTTTGAGATGGGACAAATGCCTTTCTTCAGTTGACCTAAGAAAGCCCTTCTGGCGGCTGAGGTAGAGCAGAATTGCCAGGGTTGGCGAACTGGAGGTTGACGAGGGTTCAATACACCGTCCAATATAGCTAGGGCAGATGGATATCCGTGCTCGATTTACTTTTCAGGCTCATCGTCATTTGAATACTTTGATTTTCAGCAACGATTGACGTTCTGTCGGCAGTTATCGAGTCTTTTCAGCTGCTTGCTGTAACAGACTACTACCAAATTCAGTAAAAAAGTAGGAGAAAAGCAGTCTCCTACATGCGGCCTGCTCCACCATCCTCACTATACCCTGTCCACCCACGATAAGCACCTCCTACCTGAGTGTCTTGTACTTGTTGGTGCTGGTGCTGGTGTTGCTGCGCCTGTTGATGCTGCTGATGCTGCTGCTGCTGCTGCTGCTGATGTTGCTGTTGTTGTTGCTGCTGCTGCTGCCAAGCTATAGGTGCTGCCGAAGGCACAGCGGTGCCCATGATTGCCGGATCGATGGCTTGTTCAATATTCTCGTCCGTTTCGTTAACAGGCACCGCGCCGTAGATGTGAGAAAAATGCTGCGGCTGCCTTTCGTAAACCGGATTATGATGTGGTGCTGGATAGTACTGAGGTGTATGATGGCTACCTAGCATTTCTCCGCTAAAGGACATCGATCGAGGTGGTGGTGGCATGCCGCTGTTCCACCCCATTTCATTTCCATGTCCAAAATTCGAATTTGCCCAGGCAGCAGGTACGGCATTCGGATCTGCATATGGAGAAATTTGGCCACCAAGGCCCATTGAAACATCTCCTTGATATGACTGTTGCCACATATTTTGACCGCGAGGTTTCGACATTGCGCTTGGATCTGTGTCCGTAGCCACCCAGCTTCTTGAAGGCTGCTCGCCTACACCATACGATGACCCGGATTGCATCGAGTTCGCTGAACCTTGAGTAAACAAACAGTTAACATCGCCAAACATACAGAAATCCTACAGACAAATCTTAGTTACCCACCTTCCAAGGTTGGCGGAAAGTATTCGCTTTGAGGTGTTGAAGCTCCAATGTTCGGCGCCTGTGCAACAGGTATGGCAGGATAATTCTGTCGCTGTGATCCTTGGTCAACGGAACTGCCACGAGATATTGCCGGCGATGAGGAGGCCGTCGCGATGCTGGATCCAGTGGGCGTCTGAGGCGGCAGTTTCGGATCATATGGCTGCTGCTGGTCTACCGGGTGAAAGCTGCACTCTTTCTTGAGTCGTATGCAGTTAACACATCGATTCTGGTCCTCGGAGGATATAATGCAGCGTATTTTGCGTCGGCGGCAGTGACCTAGCGTGTGTTAGACTCCTTGGGGGGGGCCGGGAGGACCGGCCCAGGCCTCTCGGTTCGTGTCGAGTCAATAGCGGAAAGGGGGCAGACAAGACTCACCACAGGCAATCGACGTTCTATGGTAGCCTAGTTTGTTTCTCTTCTTTTCATTCATCTGCGGCGCTAGTGGTTGAGACTCCAAGAACGATGTTGATGCTACACCACCCACTGAAGGTGTCGAGAAAGATCGCTTCAAGACATGGGTGGCATTTCCTCGGATGGTAGATGCCATTGTGGGATCTTGGGGCCCCCTAAAATTTCTGGAAGGAGACCTTGGTGGTGGCATCGCAGGTTGCATCTACTCCTGTTGTGACGGGGCCTGGATATGACATTGATGAGATCGTGACGACGTCGATGAGTCTGGGGGGGCTGGTAGCACGGAGGGGCCTTTGAGAGAAGCGGAATCGTGGAGACCTTCGATTCGATTGAGCTGGGAAGGTACAACAAGGAGGCAAGAATCATCCACAGCAGAAGGCAAAGCTGAGTAGGTGGCGCTGGCTTGCCAATACTCTCTTGTTAGCGAGCCCCAGAGCTGGAATATTGACCTCTAAATCCGTGATCCAAAACAGCACGCTGGGTTTGGTGGCAAAGTGTATAGCTGACCTAAGACAGCTGATGGTGAATATGAGCTAGAGCCAGGGAGGATCCCATACCAGCTCTTGGCCAGGCCCGATCTGGCAATCTGTGAATCTCTTTTTGCTCTTGTGTCTCGGAAGACAGCAGACCGAGATGGGTGGCTTTGGCAAGCACCGATGATGGAGGCACAAAGAGGATGGATTAGAGGACACAGAGCGGGAGGTTGCCCCAGTACCTAGTAATAGCTACTAATAGCCGCCTGTTGTAACACCCTACCTACCCAGTGCCATGCCCCGGGGTCTTCCATAGGGCTACAGTGCCTGTCGGCAAGGAGGAGGAAGCAAGGGTGATGCGAAGTCGCACACAGCCCTTTTGGGGGTGGGGAGGGGAGGCGATATTGAGTTGATTAGCAAGAGGAGCCGTAAAGTTGACACCCCTCAGTCGACACCAACCATGTTAGAGAGCTACGAGTACAGG